AACCCAAGGCAGTAGATAAAGCTGGAGGTGGCTTTCAAAACACTCATCCTACCAGCTTTAGATTCCAGAACCTCATTCACTTTACCTCTGAGCTTCAGGCGCATGCAGTGCCACACACCTACCTTATAATGTGTGTGTGAATAGGACTGTGTATACAGGCTTTTATCTCTCAGTAGCAGTGGCAGGCTGAAGGTACTGTTCGCAGCAAGGAGGACTAATCACAGCCCCCGAGAGTCACAGCTCAGCAGATCTGGTTGCTTAATCATCTATTTCCGGAGAAGTGAAACAATTTGGCTCTGGGATGCACGCCTCAAAAAAGGCTTATGATTCACCCAAAAGAAGACAGGAAGTTGAATGCTGAAAGCATCTCGGCTCTGACAAAAATAGACTTGGGCTTTCTGACCTCAACTCTTAAATCTCTGGTGAGGAAACCAGGAGAGTTCTTTGATTCTTTTAGTCATGTGACAAACACATGACTAAACAGTCCAGTAACATTACTAACATTAAATAGTCCCTAATATTTTTTATGCTGGTAATACCTTTACTACATCTCAATTTGACAACTGTACCAATTTCATAGATTTTCCAGTACTTTGTGCTCAATACAGCAGCTATAATACTATAATAAGACAAAAAAGACCACACTTTACTCCTGTGTTGGCCTCAATGCATTGGCTGCCAGTGCATTATATAACTGATTCAGTTATTTTAATTCAAAGCGCTAAAGGAATGGAATGCGTATGCATTACAATCTGTTCATTTTTATAGTAAATGTATTTTGATTAGGCTCTCTAGAAATTTTATATAGATGTTCATTTTGGAAAGGGTGTTCTATAAATAAAGATTATTATTATGCAGATCCCTTGTTTAATGAAGTCATCTGGAGATCCTTTGGAATAAAACTATGAACATGCTGTATGTAGCTCAACCAGTGCCTCTTTTATATGTACATTTGTTAACATTAACAAAATACAAAGGCTCCCCCTTTTTTAACTGATGATTAAGGTTGACTTATAAAATCTGCTGGATTGTGTTTTTCCAGGACCAGGGTGGGCCGCCCCAGTATAAAGTACTGGGCTGATTAAAAATCTGAAGGGGAAGAGAACCAAAAATGTCCCAAACAAGGAATAATAGCAGGAGATCATTATTAATATTTATATTAATATTATTAATAATCAAAGGCTAAATAATTATGGCAATGCCAATTGAAAACTGCTCTCAGGAGGAAGTCATCGGATGTCACCGTGAAATAAAGAGTATTTTTAATTTTGAAAGATTTTCCAAAAGAACTGGCAGAGGTGTCAGTCATCACTGCTGAGAGTTTTGACTGCTTCTGCTGTCACTGACGGGCACGCAGAAAAGTGTGGCTCAGCGTTAAAAGCAGGTTCATATCACGTCTAAAAGGCTCAAAAAACAGGAATAAAAAAAAAGACCCCCTCATTCTGCAACATATTCCGCCAATGTGCCTCAGTTCAATCCACCAGACAGTAATTTACAATTTCAGAGACAATAATAACAACAGCATCTCAAAACACAAGAAAAAAAAGAATGCTTGAGCTTAATTCAGTAAAAATGTCAAATAAAATACAGATATATTTTACAATTATTTACAAACGCAGACAAGGGAGAAGGTTGGTATGTGTTCTTGGAAATATTTTTTTAGCCAGGTTTGCTTAGTGCAGCAGGAAGTCGCATTATCGGCTAATAAAATCAGTATATTAGGTTTTATGCTTTGGGTATGAGCAGTGATGACTCAGCACATCACTTCTTTTTCAGAGCGAACACAGGCTCTCTTTCAAGGAAAAGCTCTGCAACCATCTAATTCCGCTTTTGTTGTCTTTCTACACAATAGGCGCAGAGCTACAGACACTCCATCTCTCAGCCACTAACTGAGGGTCTTCCTTAAAATAATACATCATTACACCGGTTTCCAAAAAGGAGATATGGAGGCCAGATTGAATCCAGTTATCCTCAGCATTTTCACAACACTCGATGAATTCTCTTCTGTAGTGGCCAAAATGGTGTGAACAACG